TGGGCAGCCTGCTCTGTGCACGTATGGCACATGCCATCCACTGTGGGCAGATCTGGGCCAGTAGCCAGCAGGGCCTCAGCCCTCAGGAAACTGGCATCGTGGCTGTGTGGACGTGGCCGGCCCCCGTGAAGCCATCAGAAGATCCCAGCTAGGACTGCACAGAATAAAGTGCTAGCTGATGGAATGAGTTTAGACAGCACTCTGCTAGCAACAAATATGTTTGTGGAAATTAGAAAAAGGGGCCCCTCCTCAAGACACCTTTCGCCATCTGTCCAAAAAATGTCATAGGCAATCCTAAATGTACACTGCCGAACACAGGCAAGGCACGGCGCCTCCTAGAGCTGTACCGGTGTACAGCCTGCTTCTCACAGCCAGCCTCCCAGTGACCCCAAATGACTCCGCCCAAGCCCGGGGAGCAGAGCCCTGAGGTGCTCATCCTGCCTAGGAGGGTGGCGTGCGGGCCGACGAGTCTGTTTTATTTCACAGCCCTTCTTCTTCTCGAGCTGTCTGGGTGGCGCCAGCTGTCAACGGCCCGTGCTGGGTCTGCTATGCCATCCTGCTCCCCGGGTCACTGCTATTTGCCAGGGTAAACAGTCCCAAGAAAGTGGCCATGGCTCTCCCAGCCTGCTGACCCAAATGAGCCCGGGTGCCTCCTCCCACGGGGCCCCTGGGTGGGGTGGGGGATGGGAGTCGAGACCAGGATCAAAGTTGCCACATTCAGGTATTTCCTCCCTGTCCCAGTGTTCCTCAAGCACCCTCTTCTCTCTCTCTTCCTCCCCACCCCTCTTTTTTTTTAAACTGGGGGAGGGGAGAAGGAAGAGACTGTCTTTGATCTCAGTGGAGGAAAAAAGTCTGTTCTGTTCAGGCTTTTGGCTAACACAACAAACAGTGTTTAAAATTTAACTTTGCTTAATTAATTAGTAATTCTGTTTAATGCTGTCTGATCTCCCTCCAAAAGGTATTTTGAAGCTTGAGAAGGGAACATCAAAGGGAGCCGGGTGAAGATGGTCAAGTAATGCATTTAATCTGGCAGTTGCTGGGGGTGGAGCGATGCCAGGCTGCGGCGAATGCGGGAAGCATCATCTGGTAAACATAGCCCGCTCCTTGGCTCCTCTGCTCCCGTGCCAGGGTGCAAGGAGGGACCGGGAGCGGTTTCCAAAGAAAAGGAGCTCCACCCACTGCCCCCAGACTCATTTGAGCTGAGAACTGGCTTTGAGAAAGCAGTGTTGACATCTCCTTTCTTCCGTGGTGTGGCTGGGCAGGTTGTGTACTGCTCAAGGGTTCCCAGTCAAGCGGGTGAGCAGCAGGTGGAACCCAGCCTGTGCCCGGTGGATCAGGGTGCCCTGGTGGGGTGAAGGCTGCCTTCACCTAAAGCGCAGTTCACAAACCTTTCTGTGAAGGGCTCGGAGAGTACATATAGGGTGTCCCAAAAAATGTATACATACTTTATGTATACACGCTTTAACAGCTGGTAGCTCAATTTTGAAAATGAAATGCATTTTAATAAGCACTGCCTTTATAATTATTCAAAGTGTGTGTGCATTTGTTGGGACATCCTATATTTTGGACTCTGTGGACCATACAGTCTCTGTTGTGACTACTCAACCTCTGCCATCATAGAGTGAAGCAGCCACATGTCCCAATAAAACAGGTGGTGGGCTGGCTTTAGCTCACAGGGGCGTGGTTTGCCAGTCCTGCTCTGTGTCACCCCCCGGGTACTCCAGAGGCAAGTGACGGGCTTTGCATTTCTCCTACTCTGTCCCTTCTTTTCCTTCTCTTCTACTTTCTCCTGCTTTCCTTTCCTCTTTCAAATGAGTAGTATCTACTGTGGTTGCTGTGACTTGCAATTGAAGAGTGACCAGAGCCCCCCTGAAATTATGCCCCCCAAAAGATCATCTCTGGGAAAACAAATCGCTAGGCTGAACAGGAGTAAGAGACAGAGTGGGCTTGGAATCTGGTACCAAAGCCCATCTCAATAAAAGCATCATTCCCTCCTGAGGTTGGACCCCAGCAGCTGCGGTGAGCACCATTCTCCCTTCTCCAGCCTACCTGTGAGCCCAACAGTGGGTGCACGGATGGGTGGATACATATACATATGTATGAATGAGTGAGTGGTGGATGGGTGGATGAAAGGATGGCTGGATAGAAGGATGGCTGGATGGAAGGATGGGTGGAAGGATGGCTGGATGGAAGGATGGTTGGATGATAGATGGATGATGGATGGAGGGATGGGTAGGATGGGTGGATGGATAGATGGAATGGATGATGGCTGGATGGATAATAGATGGATGATGAACGGATGGTGGATGGATGGATGGAGGGAAGGAGGGAAGGCTGTTTTTTCTGCACAGGGATGGCTGGGGGTGGGTGATGGTTTGGCATTGTTTGGTTTCAGAGGGTCCATGTGGATGTAGAAGATGGTCCCTGATTTCCAACCCCTGACCCCTGGCCCCTGACCCTGGTATTGAGGTCCGATAGGCTTTCTGATAGATTCTCTGACACCTCTTCGGGCCCTTGGGCAGGGGACAGTAAAAGGGTGAAAGGCCATCTTTGGTGGGGCAAGGGGGTGCTGACTGTCCTTATTCCAGGTCCCTAGGGCCCCAGGACAGGATGGCTCCCTGTCCTACTACCCATCCGGGCCCAACCCCATGCTGGTAAGGGGCCCCCAGTGGGTGTCTGGGTAGTTTTCTGAGCTAGGATGGGATGAGGGACCTGCTGGTGAAGGCAGGACAATCCAGGCCACCCTGATCTTTGAAAAAGACACATGGAGCGGGAGAGGGGTGGTAGGGATGTTTTCCTCCTCCCTGGGAGAGAGAAAGGAGGAGAGGCAGGGAGGACCTGACAGAGGACAGGCTGTTTCTGTACAGTGGGAGGAGGGGGCTCCAGAGGAGAGAGCAGGGACAGAGGTTTCTTTTCTTTGGGTTTTATCAAGTGGAATTTGAAAGGCAACATTGAACCTGAAGGTGGTTTTCTGATAACTTCTCTTTGAACTTGAAGTTTGGTTTCGATAAGCCTGGCCGGCTTACATCTCCAGCCAGGACCTCTGCAGAGGGAGGCAGTGGCTTTGAAGATGGAGCTGGCCTTTGTTTTCCTGTCTTCTTTCTCTTCTCTGCAGCACCCAACCCTGCCCTCTGGGGTGGGGGGGTAGGGGGGTGAATAGAGAATGTTGCTGGTTGTGACAGCACTGTGTTGTCTCTGGGGGGCAGTGCTAGGTTGGGGGATCATGTGGATCTGGGCTGTCAGCTGGGACCATGGCTCAGCTACATCTTTTGCAAAGCCAGCGTTTATTGAGCACTTACCAGATTCAGGCCTCTGTGCTCAGTAGGCACTTTTCTCATTGCCCCCTCCCAACAGCCCTGTGAGGGAGAGACCATTCATCCCCGTTACAGATGAGGAGACTGAGACCCAGAGAAGCCAGGTGCCTGACCCCAGGTTGCACAGGTCAGTGGCAGTCAGGATATGAGAACAATGTGCCCCCTCAACCTGGGTACTCCAGCCAAGCTCAGCCTCACCCATTGGGAATGCTGGGTGCTTCTAAGGCTCAGAGCTTCACTTAGTGCTGAGGGTGAGGCCAACACTCCCCAACTTTCTCAGACAGGCCTCTAAACCTTCTTGCCTTCTTTTAAATGGGGTGACAGTGGTGCCTACGTCTCTGTGGCCTGGTAGAAGTGAACCATGGCAGTGGCAGTTCTGGCCCAGCAGGACACCAGATTTGGGCTGGAGGAATCGGGGTGCCCAGGCTGTATGCTTGGCTGTCTTTGCATCATGGACCAATTGCCCGCCTGACTCCCCTGGGCTCACCATGGCACTGAAGGGGACACCACCTGGCCATTGAGGAGGAGCAGGGAGGAAAGGACTTGGTTGGATCCACTGTCCCAGAAACAGTCAGCGTCAGTGACCTCTGACCCTGAGGATGCCCAGTGCCCTCACCCTGGGTCCCCAGCCAGAGCCCCTGACAGCTCTAGGGAGTTGTTGCCTTGCTATGGGAGCATTGCAGGCTGGGAGCTCCCTGCACCCTGCTGGCTGTGCAGAGAAGGAAGGAGGCACCCGGGCATGGCTGCCCTGACCCTCAGGCCCAGCCAGGGTTGGGGGGTAGCTGTAGACACAGCCAGTCATATCAGTTGCCGCATGGCCTTCCTGTCCCCACCTGTCTGTACGGGTGACTGGGAGCATCCTTGTCTTCAGCCCTCCTTCCCTGTCCTGCTCGCACCCTGGGCTACCTGTTTTAGAAATGATGCTTTTGTGTCCTTTTGTATTTTAAGGAAACACAGCTACCGACTCTGCTGATTCCCCAAAGATTACATGGAGAGGGGGACATTTGTCCTCGAGTAAAGCTGGGACCCTGCCTGCTGGGCCTGGGCCCTGTGCTCAGTCATAGCTCGCTGAGCCCACACAGGAACCCTCCAGGAGGACATGCNGGGGACATTTGTCCTCGAGTAAAGCTGGGACCCTGCCTGCTGGGCCTGGGCCCTGTGCTCAGTCATAGCTCGCTGAGCCCACATAGGAACCCTCCATTTTACAGCTGGGGAAGCTGAGCCCTGGGCCACATATCGTGTCAGGAGGCTCAGAACCCAAGCTGAGAGTTTCCTCTGCCCAGGCTGGCCGAGAGGCACCAGGCCCGCTGAGCCAAGCCAGAAGCAGCGTGGAGCAGCAGCCTAGCACGAGTCAGCCTGCTTGGGTTCAAATCCCAGCCCTGTCGTGTACCAGCAAAGCAGTTAGCCTCTCTGAGCCTCACTTTTCCCATCTGGAAAGTGGACCTAATAATAGTCTCTGCCTCCCAGGGTTGCGGTGAGGACTGAGTAGTCAACGGACAGCCGGTGTTTAGTCAGCACTGTGTTGGGCCTGGTGCTGTGAGAGGTAAAACAGGACAATAAATCACAGTCTCGGGGTGGCTGAGTGACTCTGAGGAGACGGGAGCCGTGAGCACAGTCTAGAAAAGTGCTTGGCCAGGCCAAGCTGCTTCCCTGTCTTCAGGCAGAGACAAAATGGGCAGATGGGCTGGAGGTTTGAAGAACCTAGAAGGCTGGGCCTCTGGTCAAGGAGGATGGCTGCCATCCTGGGTTGCCCTCCTGGCATCTCTAGGGGTATTCATGGGAAAATGGGGTCCATAGGTCATGTTCTCTCATGCCCACCCTCCCCACTGCTCCTGGAAGGACACCCAAAGGACAGTGACCTTTGGCTGAGGGGTGGACCCCTGGGTGAACAGAAGCCAAATGAAAGGCACCGGGTTAGCTTGCTTCCGATGATATGCTGTGTTTGTGTGCGTGCGTGTTCACATGTGTGCTGAGTGCACACATGCCCATCACCAAGCCTGTAGAACTGCATCCTGTCCTGTTACTCCTACTGACCATGTACCAATGGGCTGTCTGCTGGGCCCAGGCAGGTGGCATCTTCGAAGAGGCCAAATGTCAGCATGGAAGGTGTGAGACTTTGGCTATGACCTCGGGGCTCCAGAATCACCATGGTGCCCCCTCCTCCACCCCTCTTAACGTAGTGGCGGCCACAGTCTGCTCATGTGGGCTTCAAGTTGGGACAGAAAATGGAGCGGAGGCCTGAGAGGCCCACTGTGGTAACCTGGGGGGCTGGCATGGATGAGCCCTGGGAAGGGGGGTCCCCCAGAGCAGCCTGGACAGCCCCAGAGGGCAAAGCAACTTTGCAGCAGATGTGCAGGGCAGGAAGGGGCCCGGCGCCCTGGAGGCCCTCGCTCTGGCCCCGCCGGCCGGCATCGCATGCAGTTGAGCCTGGGCCCCTCACGTGTCCCCGTCTGTTCCCCCACAGTGGCCCTGCCCCCCGAGAAGCCCGACGGGCCGGCCAGTGGAGATGAGCAAAGGATGGAGAAGTCGAGCGGGTCCTGCCTGGGCTCTAAGAAGCAGCTGAAATTCGAAGTAAGTTTCCTTTCCTGGCGCAGGGCCTGGAGAGCAGGGTTTTCTCTTCTCGGTGCTTTTCAAGGAGGAAGCTGAGGCCCGACTAGATGTGGAGGCTNGGGCCTGGAGAGCAGGGTTTTCTCTTCTCGGTGCTTTTCAAGGAGGAAGGTGAGGCCCAACCAGATGTGGAGGCCGCTCAGCACCCGCGTGGACAGGAGAGGGGGGCCCAGGCCCAGACGTCCCCCTTCCTTGCATGGGCCTGTTTCTGGAAGGGGCCAGCTGACTGCCTGGGACTGCTCATGGTCCACGAGGAGGACTCACCTGGGAAGTCCAGGTGGTGGGGGACCCACATGGCGGGGGTGGGGGGGTAGTTATTCAACCCGAGTTTCTGAACTTTAATCCGAGTTTTTTCTGGAGCTAAGCGGAGGGGGCCGGGGAGAGGGAATCAGGTAAATGCTGTGTGTGCATGCACGAGTGTGTGTGTGTGTGTGTGTGTGTGTGAAAGCGCACGTATATACGTGCAGGTGTGTGAATGCATGTGTGTGAGCGCATGTGTCTGTGCAGGTGTGCACACGTGTGTGAGTGAATGTGTATGCATGCATGAGTATGTGGGTATGGGTGTGAGTGCAGGTAGTGCATATGTGCAAGTGTGTGAGTGTTTGTGCGTGCATGTGCACACGTGCAGGTGTGTGTATATGTGTGAATGCACGCGTGGACATGTGTATATGAGTGTGTGTGTGTGCGTGTGTATATGTGTAGGCATGTGTGCGGGGTGAGTGCTGTGCCACCTGCAATGGTTCCTCAGAGAGCAGAGTGGGCAGGTATCAGACAGACAAACCACAACTGAGGGAAGACCGACTTTGAACTCAGCATGGGCTGCCCCGGACTGCTGGAGGGAATTGGCTTTGAGCTGTAGAAACTGGGGGCAGGGACACCATGCTTGGTCACACTTGTGCCAGCATCCTGAAGCCAGGTAGCACCCCTCTGGGGGGCTGAGCCTGTCCTCATGCCATGCCAGCCCAGGCAAGATGTGGAACAGGATGGTCTGAGAGCATCTTTGCTTGTTTTCGTAGAATCTTGGGCTCTTGAGGCCATTTGTGGGCTCTTTCCCAAATGGCCATTCTTCCTGGAACTCTGTCTGTTGTTCAGCCAGCCCCTGCACACTTCTGGCCCATGACAAAGCTTGCTGCTTCCCAGCTCAGAGCACCTGTGGTTAGACACCCCGGGTTGTCGGAGTGAGAATAAGACGTCACTGCTGTATGAATCATTACGAAGACAATCGCAGCTGCTTCCACTAATGGGGCTTTTCTATGTGCTAACCAGTTTCCACACGTTTCCAGTTCCCTCAAAGCAGACCCCAAGTCAGAGACGAGGGGGTAACCCCAGGGAGCAGGGAAGGAGGGAAGCCAATAAAGGGTTAAGGGATGTGTCACAGCCAGGGCAGCTGGGGCTCAGTCCCTCTGGGGTCCCTCCCAGAGTTGTACAGAATGGCCTCAGATTTTTCCCCTGGAGGGTGCAGAAGCTGGAGTCCACCCTGGGCATGCAGTCCCTGGCTCTTCCTTTCTGGGCTGCCAGGAACTTGAGGCGGGAGGTCGGGAACTGTCCCCCACAGCTAGAGATGAACACCGAGGGGACTGAGGGTTTGAGGGGTAGGCCAGTTAATGCTCCCAACAATTTTATGAGGGCAACACTGTCATTTTCCATAATTTGCACAGGGGAAACTGAGACACACAGAAGACATGCTCAGGGTGGCGGACATGCAGCTTTGGGGGCTGCACATGGGCTGGCACCTGAGCTTGTCTGGAACTTTAGTTCTTTGTGCCCACCCTCTCCTGCCTTCCAGGTCAGGTGGCCACCCTGGGAGTTGCAACACAGCTTCCCAAGTTACTGTGCCCTGTGTGTGTGCGCGTGTGCACGCACATAGGTGCAAGTGTGCATCTGTGTGCATATGTGCAGGTGTGTGTTCATGTGCGAGTGCACAGGTATATACATGCAGGTGTACATGCATGTGTGTGAGCACATGTGTGTACAGGTGTGTACACTTGGATGTATGAGTGTGTGCATGCATGTATGTGGGCAGGGTAGCTCTTAGTCCTTGGTCCAACTTCAGTCCTTCTGAGGCCACAAAGCCCTCTCTCAGACCCTCCCTTGGATTGTCCTTTGACTGTGAGGACCCAGAGACTGTCTGGCACCCCTGCAGGCATCTCTCCTCAGGCCATACCTCCTCCGCCCAGCCTGGCTGCTCTCCGTGCCAGTCAAGTCTTGGTCATTACTCTGCAGTGGGAAGTGGCAGCCCCATGGCCTGGCCTCCAGGTGTCCCAGCCACTGGGTGGACAGCCACGCCTGTGTGTTGTCTGTGTCTAGGAGCTACAGTGTGACGTGTCTGTGGAGGAAGACAGCCGGCAGGAGTGGACCTTCACCCTGTACGACTTTGACAACAATGGCAAAGTCACCCGTGAGGTGAGTGCGCCTGCCTGGCCTCCGGCCACTGGCCATGCCCTTGGTCACAGGGCACTGGTTGTGTGCCTGGTGACTGCTGCCCTTTTCCTTCTTCTGAGGTAGGTCTGTCCCTAAGGGTAAACTGTAACAGGAGCAGTGCAGGGTGTGGCTGTGCTGGAAATAAGCTCCTGGGAGTTTCGGAGAAAGCTGGAGGGGTGTCTAGAGCTTCCTGGCAGTGGAGAGAGGTGACAGAGAGGAGGGGCATTTGGGGTCCTCTGGAGGAGGAACAGCAGGCAGGTGCCAAGCCCCAAACCTCCCCAGAGGAGGACCCTGAGCCCCAACAGAGTCCCATCCTGCTCCCTTCTCTGTAGTCCAGCGATTCAGGCAGGGGCTAGACCCTGGGTATCACACAGGCAGCCACCATAATCCCAGTCTAGCCCCTAGATGTTCTGGCACAGGCCCCCAGAATGTTTTGGTAAAAATTAAAATTAACACAGGCAACAAAAGTGCAAGGAGATAGATGTGACGACATCAAAACATAAAACTTCTGTGCATCAGAGGGCACAGTCATCAGAGTAAATGACAGTCTGTGGAATGGGAGGAAATATTTGCAAATCGTATATCTGATAAAGGAATAAAATCCAAAATATCCTGAATAATATCCAGAGAACTAAAATTTAACATAAAAAAAGAAATAATTCAATCAAAAAATGGACAAAGGACTTGAACAGATGTGTCTCCAAAGAATACGTACAAATAGCCAATTAGCACGTGGAAAGATGTTCAGCGTCACTAATCATTAGAGAAATGCACGTCGAAACCACCATGAGCTCCCCGTCCACCGCCGGAGTGGCTACAATAGAGACAGACAGGATCCTACAAGCGTTGCTGAGGAAGTGGCAGAACCGGAACCCTGGGCGCCGCTGCTGGGAATGCCAGCTGATGGCGCTGGCGCGGAGAACAGGACGAGGTCCTCAAAACATTATTCATAGAATTCCCACGTGATGCAGCCATTCCGCTTCCCGGTGTATAGCCCCCCGAATGGCAAAGGGGCCCTGAAGAGATCCACGTACACCCACGCTCACGGCAGCACTGTTCCCAGTAGCCCCAAGTGGAAGCAGCGCAGGTGCCCGTCAGCAGACACGGGGATAAACCAAATGCGGTCGGTCTGTGCACACAGGGAGTGTTACTCAGCCCTAAGAAGGAAGGAGATTCTGACACAGGCTACATCGCGATGAACCTTGAGGACGTTGTGCTGAGGGATATAAGACAGCCACTAAAGGACAGAATGTCTGATTCCGCTTACGAGGTACCTAGATAGTCAGATACGTAGAGAAAAGTAGAATGGCAGTTGCCAGGGACTGGGGGGGGGG